TATCACAATGGATAATACAATCTCTACATTCCTCGTGTAAATATGCAATGCCTCTAGCAGTGCCAACAGCTACACGAAATCTAACATCCCAGCTCAAATTCAGACCATCTCGTTGCAGATAGGCACTCAAAGGGCCATTTGGCATGTAATCATAAACTAAAAGCCTATGAGAATTCTCAGAGCAAAATCCTCTAAGCCTGACAAGATTGATATGCTGAATGTTTCCAATGGTACACACCTCTGCCCTGAACTCTTTCTCTCCACTGCCTGGCCTTTCAAGGCGTTTCACAGCAACAAGAGTAGTAGAATTCAACAACTCGCCTTGAAACACTGCCCCAAATCCACCATGCCCAAGTTTATCCGAGAAGCCTCGAGTTACAGCATAAAGCTCTTTATAAGTAAACACTTTCAAATTCAACCCTGGAAACGCGCCATCTCCTTCCACACCCTTCCCGTTCTTCCTTCTCTTTCTCAGAATCAGCAGCATCCCTGCCACTAACCCCAAAAGCACAACTGACCCGCCAATGCTACTTATCAAAAGCACAGATTTCGACACATCCTTCTTCACAGTCCCCTCCTTTGGCACCCTGACGTATAACACATCTTGCGAAGTACTATCAGAGCTCAAATTTCTCAAATTCAACAAAGATCCATATAAATTCCTGCACAAATTAGTCTTACCATCATGAAACAAACCGATACACGAGCAATTACCCAAACATTTCCTCTCACAAACACTCCTAGTCCCCACAAAAGAAACCATAGCCGCTCCCTCGAATCCCACAACACCAACCTCCATAAACCCATCATTCTCTTCACACAAACCCCCGCTCTCTCTGACACAACCACTAGTATGATCCCCAGACTCCCAATCATAATCGTTAACAGGCCTAAACCCAGAAACACAAACACAAGGCTTCAACAATGTGCTATTACAAACACCAAAATCCCCACATAATCCATAAACTCTACACTTATTATCTGGCTGTGACCAAAACATGTTCCAATACTCATTCTGCTGAGTCCAAGTGTACTGCTTCAACTGCCCACCAGCATCGACTTGAAACCTACTCAATGGTGGCTTTAAGCCACGATCTAATGCTCTCTCTGTGTACCAAAAGGATGCACTTGGCATAAAAGGATCCGAAAAATGGAACTTATAAATGTACGGTATAGTCATTTCAGGTACACCATTGAATGCATTACCAGTCCAATTACCTGTACTCCAATACTTGACACTGTTGTTATAAACAAGCTCAAATTCATTAAAACCTTGTGGGTTTATCCTTAAAGAGAATAAACCGGGCGACGGATCGTTTATGCTCCTCCATGAAATTAGTGATCTTTCACTTGTAACATTCATGCCTGGCAGCCACGTATCTGTTGGAAAATCAAAACTTTGCCAAATAATTAACTCTTTGGCAGATAAAAGAACAAGATTCCCATTCTCTAGAAGGAGCAAGTCTCTTGCTTTCTCCGTGTTTGTGCTTTGCCAAATTGTTGAATTCGGGGATGCAATGATGGCTAGTTTGCCCTCTGTAGTGATTTCTACCCTTGCAGAACTGAGATCAGTGATGGGTTTCTCTCGATTTGCTACCCAAACTATTGGTGGTGTTGGAATTGAAGCATAGGAAATAGCCAAGTACCAATTGGATTTCCCACCAGGGCTAATGAAACCCAGATTGAATGTCTTGTTTACGCTTGAAATTGTTGAGTTTCCTGTGATAAGAACGTTGGTAGTCTCCAATTTCTTGCTTCTGCTGATGCTTTGTATTGTGTTGTAGGGTGCTGATGGTGTCAACGTCTTGTTTGTTTCAAATTTGGAAACAAGCAAGGCATTTGAGGGTAGTAAGAGAAAGATGAGGATGAAAGTAGAGAAGATGGGTAGTGACATTTCACTGATGGTCAGCAGCATTGCTGTTTGGTTTTTTGGTCTTAGAGGGAAAAAAGCAGGTCTTTTTCACTTGGAAGATGATGATGATAGTGATCTTTGCACTTGCAAGATGACATAGAATCTTTGTGTTGTGTAAATGGTTCAGCGAACGGGAGCAGCCTGTCCGTCTCTGATTCAAGTTTACAAACCTTTTAGAGAGAGAGTGAGTGAGTGAGAGAGAGAGAGAGAGAAGGGAAGGGAGGGAAGATTTTTATGGATATCTGAAAAAGCTGCCTCTTTATGGACACAAAGTCACGTACAAAAAGGTTAAAAGTTCTGGGAAGTCCTAAGTAAATTACAAGAATGTCTTTCACAACTTTGCGCTGCAAGGCTTCAACCATCAATGTTTAAGCAGCGTTTAATGAACCAGATTCTATGCTTTGATCCTGTAGATATTATTGTTTTACATTATTTTTGGGAAGTCGTAACTTGTGACAAAGAAATGTATTAGACAACTAATCAATAGCATGCTTTCATTAGATAGCTAAATCAGCTTAAAGCAACTACATTAATTTGAGCAACCAAATTAATTTGCTCACGTATGCCTTTGATTTGATATCTTCAACACCATATAATCACTCATTCATACACCTAAAATAAAGGAGCTAAAGATTGCCACCCCTATAAAAGAATCATAAATTGCCTTATTTGGCAACGTAAACGTATTAATAACAAGCCAGCCAGAATCTTATTAATTTGTTAAACGAACTTCGTTTTTATTCAGACCAAGTGAACCACACCGAATTTATTAGATCACCATTATGATTAATTATATCATGTAGTTAACATGTGAGGGGCTTGCTCAAGAAAAAAGTAAAATATGTGAAAGATTAAGTTTGGAGGATTGGATAGTAATAAGATTTTTTTTTTTTTTTAAGGGTTATTTTGGCAAAGTGGAAGGTGAAAACTGAAAAAAGTCTATGCGAATGGGATAGTGTGATTTGGTGGCAGACAAATGTTCTGAAATCCACTCACGAGGTCATGTCATTTCAACCAACAGAAAAAAAAAAATTGTTTTTTAAATTAAAATTCAAAGAAAATGTTATTCCGGGGCCAAAAAATAAAAAAATAATAATAACATTGCGCGCGTGGGTGGCGTTCTGGATCGCTGAGATCTGTGGTTATCAACGCCAGAAAGTTGAAAGATGGTGTAAGATTTTTATTGGTTCAAAAGCGCCTCAAGTCAACAATCTACTGCCTCCTTTGACCTTTGTGTTCCATTTCATTTTAAAATTCTCTTAAATACTTCTTTTGTGTTCTTTAATTCGTATAACTAACATCAGAATTTTCTATACCACACAACATTGCAATGCTGTCCACAATATGTTTTCAAGTTATATCACCTTCTGTTGGAAATTTGGAATCTAAAAATTACTCACACCTGTGGACAGTGGCAACACTCTTTTCTTTTCAAAAGGAAATTGCAGGTTTGACTCCTCAAAAATAAATTCCTAGACACCAAAATAAATAAATAAATAAAAATTGCCCTCAAATCAATTCGAATCCACTGAACCCTCAAACGACAAATTGAAAAAAAAAAATTAGATCATTTCTGACGAGAAAAGCCCACTAGCTTGCGTGGAGCATGATGGCTTAGTAGGGATAGTAACGACTTGTAAGGCTATCTCTAGAATTAGAATAGAACTAGAAACAGCGGCTGTTGATTGTTGAAAGTTACCGATGCCCTTCCTTTTTTCTGATTCCAAAAAGAAAGACAATTGTAGACAGTTTCAAAAATGAATCAAAAACCTTAGTTAGAAGTTGAAAATTACGGCATCAGATGGTTGGCCCTTCAAAACGAATAATTTGACAGACGACTACGACCGGCTTCCACTAATTAATCCCAAGGATTGTGGGGGTAGTTGGTTCCTGACCTCCAAATGGTGCTGAAGTTAGGCGTCGACACTGACATTAAACTACTCTTTGATCTTTTTATCTACCAACTACTAACAAAAAGGATCTATCTAGCAAATCCTTCCCCAACCCTCTTTGTCTTTTTCTCTTTTTCCTTTTTTGAGAAGGATATTGCAATTTCAGTTAGCAATATATAGTCTCTTTGGCTTTGCAGAGTGGTGAGCCAAAAGCAGTTATTTGACTACCACATAGCAAGGCCAATTTTTGAAGTTTGGTTCAAAAAATGTAGGAAAAAATTGCCTGATACATGCTTCACTTAGTTTCCCAAAGAAAAAGAAGCATTTAGATGGAAAAGGTGTTACAATTGTAATACAATACCAGTAACTTCAAGCTTTTGATGTAGCACTAACCAGCCTGAAACAGATTCATCGACCATCCACACATATAACCAAAGAAGTAAACAAAAAGAGAAGGAATGGGAGGTGCTGATAAATCTGTGATCAGGCATGCAAAAGGTACATACAAGGAATTGATATGCAGAACAGCAGATGCATGCTTCTTAGGGGATGATACAAGATTTTTCCTAAAATTAAATGGCAGGCATACATCTAATGCCATGTAAATCTGAATTCATGTAATACAGTATACCTTTTCATTGTTCATTACATTTTCCATGCATTCATCGACTGCTAAATGCTGATCCATTCAAAAACTAACAGATGTAGTTTACAAACCACCCAGTGCAAAAGAACAACTATATGCAGCATACAACAAGCAGATAGAGGAGAATATGTATAACGAAGAGAAATTAGTTTGCTAACACAACATGGAAGACAGGACTGACCATTTGCTTTTAATTTGGTGGTGCATTGTTTGCACGTAATCCCTCTGACAACCGTGTCAATATCTGCAGATCCATTTCATAAATAGCAACCGAAGTATTAATAAAGATAAAGGGGCACGAACAGAGAGAAACTCGTTTCCATATTGTGTCAAAACTTCATTCCTTTGCCTCTGAACTTCCCAAGAGGAACCACATAATATGATAATTTGACCCTTCAAACCAAGCAAGACCAATTTAAAAAGGAACCTGTGGGCACTCTGCTGACCAGTGGGAAACAGAGAACTGACATCATCTGCAGCCCACTAAAGTTGGCAAGCTCTTAATAGGAACAGCAAATAAATCTCTGTCTCGAAGAGCATTAAACAGCAACTAATTGAAGGTGTGGTCAAATATTACTTCCTGTATCATTCAAAAGCAGAGTGCAATTAAGCATTTGAAAAAAGCACGAGTCAGTAGTGAGTACTAGAGTCATTCCACCAAAAGCATGAATAAATAAAAAATTTTCCCCTCGTATTTGCTTCCACCTTTTATGTGAAACAACCAAATGATTAACAAATTGGTGCGTGATTTTGACTGAGGGGGTTAGCAAAGTGCTATGTAAAGGAAACCCAGATTATATCAATCATCTCATAGGTAATAAGGGCACTAAAATCATCCACTGACTGCACATAAATTCATTTTACAAGACGCAAACCTGGTCACATATGGGGCAGGTGTCACTCCTTTCTGTCCACTCTAGAATGCAGGAAAGGTGAAAATGATGTTCGCATTTTGTGATGTGTTTTGGATTCTCCAAGTCATATTCTGCAAGCGCAAGCAGACAAAGCTGACTAATTACTTTTGGACAACTACGCATCAATTCAGAAATAACCTTGATTTACTTCTCACTATCCAGAAACACTATAAAATCATAAATTTACAAACAGCATTTATCTCCTTAGAAATGAGACAGCCACACCTTCAAGACATATAGGACAAGCATCTTCTTCTTCTGTTGCTGATGCAACAGGTTCATCTAATTTTGTCACTTCTGACTTCCTTGGGGAGATGAGCAATGAACTGGCTCGGGTTTTGCAGTCCAATTCATCAAGATCTTCGCATGTTGCCAAAGTTCCAAAACTGCTGCGACTAATTGTTTCTCTAACAGATTCAGAATCCGGTGACTCTGGACATCCCAAAACCACATCATATGGCAGAGGTGCAGGAGGGGGCCGGAAAGTATCAGGCGTTGATGTATTCAAATTCAATTCGACCAGGAGACCTGCAGTGAATGCAGAGGCTGCGCCATTGTGAGATGTTAAGGACTCATGCTCTTCCAGAGCTGGTGGACACTGCACAAGGGTGTTCTAAATTTCAAGATGATATTTTGTTAGCCAGAAGGTCGTATCGGAGTCCATTTCAAGAGATTTTTGCTTGGAAGTGGCAGAATATTTTAGGCCATGTCATTGTAAAATGGTGTGGAAAAATATGCAGAATGCGAACTTTGGATATCAATCTGTTCTAAGATTATTTTATCATGGCATCTTACATCATTTCACTGACAGAATATCGACAATAAAACTCCTCAAACCTCTATAATCATTTCCCCCTGCTTATCGGTGGTCATAAGAAATTTACAGATTACAATTCAATCAATCTAGGATTCACGAAAAAATGATCAAGCAAATGGCACTTTGAAGAGCATCGTGGCTCTTCTCTATTTAGCTAGCTGTCAGACAAGGTATAGATTGTGAAATAGTACAATAATTAGAAGGCTACAATTAAAGACATGGATATGAGCTTATATTCATGGCTAAAACAACTGAGTTATAACATGTTTTGTTCCCTATGTGTGGCAACACTAACCCAAAAATTCTCCCATTATTGCATAAAACATACTTAAGAATGGGCTTTCTTTTCCAATCCAAGTAATATTGATTCAACACCAAAGAATAACATTTCACAGGTGTAACAGCCATTAAATAACACCAGTTCATTAAGAAACCATGTCTAGAGCAGTGCATTTATGCGAAAATAAGCAGCAGAAAATTGGGCAAACCACAAACACCATCTCGTATGATTACCCATGTACCTCATAGACACATCCTAAAGCTCTTGATAGTTCCAAATTCTGTACACAATTCAGGAGTCATTATCAAGTCAAATGCAACTCCCAGAGTGCCCAACGGCGCAACTCCCACCCCCAATGAACCCATACCCACTCCAATAAAAACAAGACAGAATAATCATACAACATTAAAATCAACCAGCATATACTAGAACAGACATGACGGGCAGAAATGCATATACTTAGAGAGTGAAGATATAAATATTACTAACATAGTAATACACAGGCGTTCCGTGTAAATGAGGTTTCCTTGAAGAACAACAGCAACCTCCCATTCCCTGCAATTTTATTTCTGTTATTCAATCAATGGTACCAGTGGTTGTAGCATAGCTTCCTGTTATTTCCCATCAAAAGAACGCGGCAGTTAATACGTGTCACGTACATAACCTTAAAAATAACAAAATTAGTACTGCATAAGTTATTAGCACACACTATCATGCTTCAAATACAAAACCCAAATGGGCAGAGAGAGAAGATAAACCCTAATTTGAAAGGTGACAGAGATGCCTATATCAGAAGGGAAAGAAAGAAAACGGTAATTTTAAAAAAGCTAATAAAAGAAGAAAAATATATCAGTAGAAACAGAAGAGAAGGATCAAGCTTACCTGAAGAGAGATGCTGAAGCAAAATTCGATTCGGTGAGAAGAAAGGGAAGGAGAGGAGAGGAGTTGAGTTGAGGAATGACAGTGTTTTGTAATTTTGTCTTTGTTGCTTTATACTTTCTTCTGTTTCTGCTTTCCTTACTGAGAGCTCCATTCATATACTCGTTATCCCTTTTAGTCGGAATCGGGTCGGGTCGGGTCGGGTTGAGTATTATAAACTAATTAATTGATTAATTAATGGAAATCTTACAAAGATTGCTGCAACTTGATCATTATTCAAGTGTTTAGCATTAATATATAGTTGACCTTTGCTCTATTTCCAATCAATTTTTTCTTTTTTAGTCTTGGCAAAACCGATACTCTCAAATTATTATCGTTATTATTATTTTTAAGTTACTTTCCAATCGAATTTTGGATAAATTATATTACATTTACATTGATTTGTGATTTCAACTTCCAATTTAACATAGAAAAAGTTATCACTGTAATTTTACTAAAGTATTGTAGAAATCAGATTCTTTTTATCCTTTTCGAAATCAATGTCGTGCTAAGGAGGAGAAATTTAAAAAAAATGCTTATGTATCTCATCAGCATGCAATTCAAAAATAGCATACGAACATGTTAATTTGTATATCTCATTAGCTCAATGAACAAAAAAAGCATTAAATCTACCGTCAAAAAACATCTAATTTTGAATAATATAACACGAACGTGGTTATAAAAGGTCAATATTATTACCGCGGTCAACAATTCTCAATCAATTTAGATAGCAAAAAAGGAATTTCAACATTAATACTCTCATATTTCATAATCCAAAAATAAATAAATAAATGCGTTTCTGTTTGTTTTTCAAAAATTAATATCCTCTGCCGTAGTATCCGTCACGGGATCTCTAAGCAATAACAATTATCAATATTATTTAATGAATTAAATTAGATAAATTAGAGAGAATTAGATTTTCGACACGCGCTATGCTTCGCGAGTTAAATAAAATATATAAAAGTATTTAAAAAAATTATTTCAATTTAATAATCTATTTTATGATAAAAAATAATTATAATTTTTTAATCAAAAATTTTATATTTATATATTTCTTATTTGTGTTTTTAAATTTTAGAAATAATAAAGAAAATAAATTATTGGTTTTCTTAAAATTGTAACACCCAACGTTATTAAGAAATGAAATTTTTTTTAAAAAATTCAATTTTTAGGGAAAAAAAAAGACCAGCTGTTACTATTCACATGAACAGTAAACAAATGGTAATTAAAAAAAATGTTTAGTGTTTAGAAAAAAAAAAGAGAAACCAAGTCGTTTACTGTTTAAATGAACAGTAAACATGAATAAAAAGGAAAAAAGGCCCGCGTTGGCAAAAAAAAAAAAAAAAACAGTGTAGCAATCAATACTGATCATTGCTACAGTAAAAAATCATTTTTCTTTAGGATAATAATAATAATAATTTATGTACATTTTTGTTAATTAATTACCATATCTTCATAATTACTATGTACGAACTATATTTTCATTAACTACTCAGCCAACCATACTTTTTCTTGCTCTCTTGGTAGATAAAGGCAAAATCATCAGAAAGAGGACATCCTGAAGATTTAAGCTTAAATCCTGGAATGGGAAGGATTTGACGAGGATTTGCTAATTGATTTAATAATAGGGATGGGGCTAACCCATTGATCAAAAAGTTAAAATGGTTTAAAGATATTTTTTACTCCTGAACTATTGAGATTGTGATATATTAAAATCTATATTATCAACTTGGCCAATTTTATTTTAAAATTATCATATTTAAGGTAAATATTGTCCATTCATTTAATTTAATCGTTGTCTTAAAAAAACTTCTTGTAAAAATAATTCATTTTATTTTTAACTGAAAATTTTCACAGGTTCTAATGTAAATTCAACCAACTTTAAACAAAACTTAGATTAAGAAGTTCTTTTTTATTTTTTCTTAAACATTAAATAAAAACAAATTTGCAACAGAAAAAATAGAGAATAAATTGCAAAAAATATAAAATAATTTGAAATGGTCTGTTAGGAGATCCTAAAAAATCAGATAAATTTATTTTTTTAGTCTGAATATGATTTTTAAAATTATTGTGTGATCAAATGCGTAACACGTAATTAAACTTAAAATAGTTTAATCTCATAATATATGTAAAATTTTGAGAAAATTACTAAAATTAGTTATGTAAATTCATATGATTTTCTTTGGGCATTAAAAAAAATTTGAGATAATTTTAGGTTATTTTTATTTTTCATAATATATTGAATTTTTATTATTTAGAAAAAAACTTTCAAACTTTAAAAAAAAAATTGAAATTATTCGTAAAAAATGGATTGAACTTTTTTATTAGTATGTATGAAAAATTTTGAGTTGAAAACAAAAAAATATGAATTTTTTTAAAAAAAATTTTGGTCAATATTAACGGTAGTAGAATCAATCAAGAGACTATATTTATTCATAATATGATAGTTTAAAAATAAAATCGATTAAATTGATAATACATGCTTAAATGTGCCACACCCTAATAATTCAAGGGTAAAAAATGCTATTAAAACAAAATTAAATACAAGAAAAATCGTCCATGAGATAAAAAAATTGGAGAATCTCAAATCAAATTTATAGGCAGATCTAGAAAAAATTGAGTCGAATTTTGGACCATTTCCGTACCGTTTCTCCTCACGTGCATGTGGAATTATGGATGCGAGGCCCAGATAACGACAAGAGTCGTTATTACAAATAAAACTAAGAGGATTTGAGAAAACGTTACTTTCACTGTTCATATACATTTATTTGTCCGATTCACTCACACTTATTTACGCGGCTCATTTTGAGTTTTTTTTTTTTTTCAAAACATAATGTTTTTAAATTTTATTTACAAAAATAGGATTATTTAAATTTTATTTATCAAAACAAGATGCTTTTTGCTAACTAAATTAAATTACCTACATATGTCAATCTTTTAATACTAAATTCACTAATAATTTTATAAAATTTTTAAAATAAATATCATTTGCAATACATATGTTGCGATAGTTATGATTATCAAATCAAAACAAATACTAGCAAACTCAACTTTACTAACGCATCAATTAAAAAACAATTGCTTTAGTAAAATTAAAATAAATAAACTTTCAAGAATCAGTAACTCTATTAGCATCTCTCTGTGTAAAAATTGTTTCTAGCTCCTGAAGATTTATTTATTTTGATTTTATGAGAGTAATTATTTAATAACTGATAAGAAAACTGCGCGAACTCAACGTTTCATAGAGAGACGCCAATAGAGAGAAAAAAGGTTTGGCTTTTTAAGTTTTAATGCTAGAAAGAGAGAGAGAGATGAATACAAACCTGGGAAGCTAATCTAATGAGGATAAATACGGAAGGCATGGAAACCATGTTTCATAATTCTGGATCACAACAGTCATCACTATTAAGCAAGCGTAAGGCCCTAATGGAACCTTTCATCTATGTCAAAAAAGTTATCAATGTCTCACAAGCAGGTAGTGCAAATGGATCTTGTTGAAGAATCGATGGGATTGAGTTTATTATTATTTGATTTTATCCGATAATCATAACTAAAGAAATAAATGTATTGTAAATGATATTTATTTCTAAAATTTTATAAAATTATTAGTGAATTTAATATTTAAAAACCGACACGTCTAAATGGTTTGATCAACATGACAAAAATTACCTTGTTTGGCAAATAAAATTAAAACAATCTTGTTTTTGTAAATAAGATTTAAAAGTATCATTTTTTTAAAAAAAAAAAAAACCTTGCTTATTTGACTATTTACAACAATGTTTATCAACAATTTATGCTTTAGTCCCTCATTTTTTCTGAATTTTTTTCGAACTCAGAACTTTATTTGTATTGCATTTTGATCTATGTTAGCATGGAGGAGAGAGAGAAGGATAGCGATGAATTTGGTCATCTTGATCGTTAAACTCAACAAGATTTTGTTTGTTTTAAAAAGTAAATTCGTTTTTTGTGATCACAAGCCATAAAATGGTAAAAAAAAAAAAAAAAGGATCGAAAGCCATAAATATTTTAAATTTTTTTATTTTGATTTGAATTTTTTGCATGTTATATGTATATTAAAAATAAATTTTAAGGTTTTAAACGAATTTATTGATATTATTTTAATGATTTTAAGGTATTTTTAGATAAAAATGAAGCTGAATTTGGGTTCAAGAAGCAAGAAATTAAGAACCCATTTTTCCAGCAACATTTTCGATGAATCAAAATTCCCCAAAAATTGTAGCATCCAATATTTTTCTTTTTTGTAGGTCTGACTAGTTTGGGCCTAGAACTAGGCTCCAGCACGTACAGGCCTGATCTCTGACCAATTTTTTAAATAGATTTAGGACAAAATATTTAAAAAATTGATTTTTTTTTTTTTATGTTTTTCATGTAATTTGATGATAATAAAATATATATGATATGTTTCTAAAATTTGTTTGAGATTTTTTGGATGTTTGTCACTTTTTGTTGCTATACACTCTCGACCCATTAAATATAGTCATGATATATAAATAAATATTAAATCATCGATTTTGTTGAAACTTTACTATGCATCTATACATATAACATCAAATACTTATTATTATTTTTTATTATTATAAAATCAATCTCTTTGAAATAAAATAATTTCAATAATTTTTTTAAAACATCATTAAAATATAATTTTTTATACTAACTTTATTGATTATTTTATAAATAAATTTATATAAATCAAATACATATATTTTCAATAAATAATCTTCTCACCGGCATTGGATAAGAATAAAAATTATTTTTTTGTGTTAATTTTTATACAAGTTTATACATTAATTATATTTTTATTTTTTTGATACAATTTTATGAAAAATAAATTTTTATTTTTTTTAAATTTTGGATTAATATTTCAGTTTAAATTATTTATTTATTTATTAAGAATGAATGTGTAGAGAAAAATAAATCATTTTTTAAAGGATAAAATTTATTATAAACTTAATAAAAAGTTAAATAAATACTAGATTTTAATTTAAAATTTTAAAATATTTTTATTACCCGATTCTAAACAAAACGGTGGATTCGTTCAAATATCACGGAATAATTGTGTTGCAGTTGTTGTTATTGGTTTACGTGGACTTGTACCCTTCTTCCATTAATTTTTATTGTGGTAATTATTGGATGATCAAAAGAAAAAACAAAAAAGGCCAGAAACATAGATGCCAGAGATGGAGAATCAATAATCACGTGCTGATTTAATTTTTTTAAATAGCAATTTCATTAAAATTAAACAAAGTATAAACAAATTATCGTTTTTATATATCTATAGAAATGAGTTGCTATTTGGAAAAATAATCAACAATACCAATAAGACGGTCTTTCAAGTAATAAATGTTTCTTTCAATGATTTAATTAGAAGTTAAAGAAAACCCTCGGAATTCTCAAATATGAATTCTCTATCTACAATCTGATTGAATCTCGTACGCATATAAGTTAGAATCATCATAAATCAATGGAAAATAGATAGCACTTGGAGCATGTCAATCCATAATCGGTGATCAGTGTCAATCTTCTCCATCAAATCATAAACAACCATCAAATCTTTATTTAAAATAAAATAAAATAAACCCTTCAACAAACGAGGAAAATAAATAATCCACATGCAACTACATAAAACTAAATATAAGATGTAGATTTAAACAAAATAAAAATAAAAACATCTAAAATTAGGAGGAAAAAAATGAGAGGTTGTCGCCTGTGAAAATCACTTACGGTAGTTAGACAATTACTTTAAAATAAAATAAGTTTTTCTAAGAGAGAAAAAGGAGAAGAAAAATACTAAAATGAAGTTATAATCATATACTACATTGATGTTTCTGTCGTGTGAGTTATGAAATCTATCGTCTCTGTACTCCCTAAAGTTTGATTATTATTATTATTATTTTACGTTATTTTAATTTATACTCTAAAATTAAGTAGTGGAATATAAGACATTTATTTGAAACTTCAGTTATTTACTTAAAAGCAAAGTAGTAAAAAAAAAAAAAAAACAATTAGGGCAATGCAGGCTATTGGTGGATTTCAATCTACATTATTGATTAAATTAAAATTTTAAAAAGTTACCTAACTATTTAAAACCAAAAAAGTAGTTAAAAAAAAACTAAAAGTACGTATATGAACTTGAAAAATTAGATGGTGAAAGAAAAAATAAAAGGAAAAAATGCTTTGAAAAGTAAAAGATCAACAATTTTGCATATATTTCGTTGACCAACAAGTTCATTATTATTATTTTTTTTTTAAATAGTTCGATTTCATTTTTATTGCTAAAATAACCCATTAGATATGTCATTATTTTTTACTTTCTGATTATTCAATTTAATAAAATAAAAAAATAAGAGTAACGTTAGGGATACTTAAATTTTTTACATTTTTTTTTTACTAATTGATGTTGCATTTGTTATAGAATTTTTTTTTTTCAAATCTTGTGATATAATGATAATTAAATAATGTATTAACAAAGGAATCACTATGTGCTGCCCCATTGTTTAATAAAATAATTTTAATAAAAACTATTCAAGTATCTCTAGCATTAATTATCTAAAAGAAAAAAAGAAAAAAAATCTCATTAAGACATTACCTCCGATGCCACTAATGCACGTCTTGGTTGTGCGAGGCCTTCAAGGCTCCATATTTCAAGAAAATCTTATAGCCACACAAAATCTTTTTTTCAGAAATAATATATTTTTGCAATCCATGAGCAAAAACATTCCAATATTCCTACCAACATCGATATTTGTAAACAACTTGCAATTGTCTGTCTCTATAGTCAATTGGGTTTAACGATATATATTTTCGCTCCTGAGCTATTGAGTTGGTGGTACCGTGAGCTTTATACAATCAATTAGGTTTAATTCTAGATTATTTTTACTTTTCATACTTTATTGAATGCTTATTGTCCAGGAAAAAAAAACTCTTCAACTTCAAAAAATAAAATAAAATTATTTTTGAATATGGTTTGAATTTTCACTAACATATATGAAAAAATAGTTAAAAAATACTAAAATATGATGATTTTTTTAAAAGGATTTTTTATCAATACTAACGATTAAATCAAGCAAATGAAAAATATTTGCTCAAAAGGTGATAGTCAAATGATAAAATTGATAATATAAGTCTCAATGTTTTATTACCCTTATAGTTCAGAGGGGAAAAATGTCATCAAACATTCAAACCCAATTAATTATAACAAGATGAAATTTGCAAAGTTGAACATCTAATTTTTTTCTTCTCTATTTAAGATTTTTCTTAGAGTTAATTATATTTTTTGATGTATTGTATATGTCAAATTTTTTTCTAATTGAGTATATGTTATTTAATCTTTATTATTTGAGTATGTAAAACTATAATTTTTTTTTTTTTAATATTTTTGTTAATTCTATGATGATGGGTCCATTATCTCGCGCAATTGGACCGTCACATAAAGTCTATGTCAACACTTAACAACAACATGGCAAACATGTGTGAGACGTTTCAATTATGTGAAAAATTTTACCTCGTGTTTGGATTCGGTTGAAAGTAAGGGAGAGAAAAGAAAAGTTTCCTTCGTTTGGGTTGGGGAGGAAATTGGTGGAAAGAAAAAAATAATTAAAAAAAACGCAAAACACGTGGGACCCATTTTCCTCCCAAATTTGGAAGGAAAAACGTGATAATCAAATTTTTTTCCTCCTTCACATATTTGCCCTCTCGCCTCGGCCGTCCCCCTCCTTTGCTAACCTCTAACAAAACAAACAAGTTGAAATTCCCTCTCGCCTCGCCCATCCCCCTCCTTTGCTAACCTCTAATAAAACAGATCCGCAAATCAAGACAAGAAATCCGCAACCAATCTACTATCCGAACAAGATCAACACTTAAAGAAGGAAAAAAAATATATATCGAAGTAGAAACTAGCCATTTCCAGCAATCGCTCGTGTGGGCCTTTCTCCTAAGATCGGGAAATTAGAGTACCATATGGATTGGGTCCCCCAACATAGACATCTTCTCAATTAGAGAGAGAGCTGCTAGGAATCAACTTGAAGGTAGTCATAAAAGACATTTATTGCATAAAGAGAATAATAAGAAAGGAGAAAAAAATGAAGAGTAAAAATGAAAGAAGCCAAGTAAAGAGAAGGGGATAAGCACAGAGAAGTTCGGCTCCATCCAAAGAAAAAAGATCTTTTGGGCCTTTCTCATGTTGTTCGGGTTCACTCGTTTATACGTATTTGTCCGTTTCTTGGAGCTACGAGTGCTTAATTTGTTTTGAACTAACCATAGAATCTTTATTTCCCCTATAACAATACCATCCAAGATAGTCATTGGTTACAATAGAAAAAAATAATGGTCAAAAGCTCATCATCTCTTATTATTATTAAAAAACAAAAAAGGCTAAACATATTTTTGTATGTTGGATTGTTGGCGACCACAACATGATGTTGTAGGTTGCATTTGATTGAGTCTTTGTGATAAGAAAAAAGAAACAAAAACTACCTTGGGTTTTCGGGAACTCTGCAAATTTTTACAATAAATTTGGAGTGTTCACCCGAGTAATGGGTTATGCCTAGCCGTCCAAATATGCAATTTGTCTCATTATTTGTCATTTAATTGACTTTCCATGATTGTTCGCAATGCTACAATAAACTCTCTTTTTTTTATTGTTAAATAGTAAATAGTTATCGATTATTCTATAGAGATGATTTATTATCCATCTTGTCATTTCGGATAGATGTTATATGCTATATTTTTATTTTATTATCATTTGTGCAATTTTCATGAAAAAAAATTCATACAAATTTATTATAAGTATTTAAATGTATAAAAATAATCATATGGATATTATAGTAAATATATAATGATACATTTTCTTTCCTCCCTCTTTTTACAATTATCCAAACAAAGAAAATATACTTTCTTTCTTTTCATTTATACTCTTATCCAAACAACAAGTGAAAAATAATTTTCTTTCCTCTCACTTTCTTTCCTCTCTTTTCTTTCCGCCCAAGAGGAAATATTCAAACAAGGGGTTAAAGTTAAATAAATAAAACAAAAAAAAATGTTTTGGAAACTGTGAGGAGCAAAACGATTTATCTCCCTCCTTTTAAATTTTATAGAATGAATAGATCTAGAAGCACAAAAACATATATATATTTTTAATGTTTGTGCATGATCTCGAGCCGTGTGAGCTCAAAACTTGGTATATGATGCGGTTTCATATAGAAAATAAACCACAACAACTTAGTTTTTATGTTAAAACATAAAAGAAAAGTGGTCCGCCTTTCAAATAGCTCGAAGCAAGCTTCTTGAATCAAAGTCAATTTTTTTTTTTGCAATTTGACAATTCGAATCCAAATTGAATAATTTTCATGTTTAGTGTGGTGAAATTAAATAAAATGTCAGTAAGCATAAAATTAATAAATTAAATGTTAGAGAATTGCATAATTCTATTCTACTAACAACTTGTAAGCTATAGCCGAATGGTGAATCTCAAAGGACCGAAGGACCAAGTAGAGACTACAAGAAGAATGGACAAAGTGAAGGGAACGAGGTGGAAAGAGCTTCCCATAGAAATTTACAGGCATTGCAACTATGAAATAAGGCCCAAACTTGCACCTATCTCTTCCTTAAGCTTCTTATGAAAACTTGGCAATGACTTGAAGATAGAGTTAAAATCATTCCCCGAAAGATCATTTAAGAAAACTTGCAAAATCGAAGGCTTTCTAATCCAACTTGCGGCATGTTTCATCAATGGCCTTTATGATCTCCCTATAATCTTGAATACTTAAAGATCAAAACATAAATCATATCATGTAATCTTGAATACTTAAAGATCAAAACACAAATCATATCATGTAATCTTGAATACTTAAAGATCAAAACATAAATCATTTATGCCCATTAGGATCTTGAATATAACAATAATCATATAGATGAAGCAAATAAATCACTTGCTTTGAGCGAAATTCATGATGTAGAGAGAGCTTTCAACAATCACGAATCTTATAAATTAGTTTCTCTCCCTTAACCCTCTTTTCTATAGCAGATAACTTAATGGATAGCCAAAATACGTGCATTCTATATTTTTTGTCCGCATACTTAATTAGGGAGGAGAGATGATTAGTTTATATACCTATTAACATTAAATCTTATACGTCCATCAAGTACTAAATTAACGATCTAGATTTAACATACTATTAAATTAAGAAAACCCTAAACTAAACTTAATATGGGCCTACGTAAAATATGGGCCATAACATCGAGCCATATTTCTTACATTCTCCCACATGGCCGGATGTTTCATTATTACATTTAATAGTATAACATAAGGCTAGCAAAAAATTAAATCTTATAAACCGTTAACATCATAAGCACCTCAACACAACAAATCACATAATGTGGGTTATGGCGGTCATACACGGTATAGTCGTATACTCCCTTTCATATACCACTACATTAAGAACTTATTATGTTAGGTTCATAAGTTGCATATAAAAAACATATAGTCCACATACTTATTATGAAAATACATACAAATTTCTTATTCAAACAATCATATATACATAAACGTAATGAATAAGAAATCTAAAATTAAAAAACATATCATTATTGAGCTTAAGAGTGTTAAAACATCACCATCAAACATCATTATCAATCATCGATACAACCAAAACTCATCCTAAGCACATGTTCTTTGAAAGTCTTTGGTTGTAAACCCTTAGTTAGAGGATCCGTAACCATGAGATCCATCCTAATATGTTTTATATACATTTTTTATTTCCAAATCTCCTCTTTAACAATAAAATACTTTAATTCTATATGTTTTGCACCTCCGGAGTATTTGTCATTTTTAGAGAAGAAAACTGCCGTAGAATTATCACAATAAATTCTCGGCAGCTTGCTTATCGCGTCGACAATCCCAAGCCCCGAAATAAAGTTTTTCAGCATAATGCATGAATTATAGCCTCATAACAAGCTATAAATTCTGTTTTCATAGTGGATGAAGCAATGATAGATTGTTTAGCACTTTTTCATAAGATTGCTCCTTTCGCTAATAGGAATAAATAACCAAACGTTGACTTTCTACTATTAACACACCCACCAAAATCGAATCCGAATATCCAATCACTTCTAAATGATCGGACCTCTTGTAAATAAACATATAATCCTTTGTTCCTCGAAGGTATCTCAACACTTTCTTTGCAACTTTTCAATGATCAATACTAGGATTACTTTGATATCTACCTAACAACCCTATCGTAAAACTAATGTCGAGTCTACTATCGGTTTATAGGTACATCAAACCGCCTACAACAAAAGCATATGGAATTGTTTCCATTTCCTTACGTTTCATATCATTCTTTGGACATTGCATAAGACTAAATTTATCTCCCTTTTGAATAGGGACTACATCTCGCTAAGCACTTGCTCATGTTAAATTTCTCAAAAATCTTCTCAATATAGGTTTCTAAGACAATCCTAATAAACCTTCTAATCTCTTACGAAATATTAAAATTCTAATCATATAGGATACCTCTCCCATATCTTTCATTTCAAAACTCTTAGAAAGAAATTCTTTAGTCTTATGCAACAAACCCAAGTCATTAGCGAGTAAGCAAAATGTCATCAACATACAAAACTAGAAATATAAACTTACTCCCACTAATCTTTTGATAAATACACCGATCAATAGTGATTTCTTTAAAACCAAAAGAGGTAATGGTATTATTGAACTTAATATACCATTGCTTGGAAGCTTGTTTAAGTCCATATATTGACTTCTTCAATTTACGCATCATACTTTCTTTACTTTCAATGGAAAAACCTTCAGGTTGATCCATATAAACTTCCTCCTTAAGATCCCCATTTAGAAAGGTTGTTTTCACATTCATCCGATGTAACTCTAAATCAAATTGAGCCACTAATGCTAAAATTATTCTCAATGAATCTTTCTTTGAGACAAGTGAAAAGGTCTCCTTGTAATCAATGACACCTTTCCGAGTGTAACCTTTGGCAACAAGTCTAGCTTTATATCTTTCAACATTGCCATTCGAGTCGCATTTGGTCTTAAAAACTCATTTGCGATCAACTCGTTTAGAACCTTCTAGCAAGTTTATAAAATCCCAAACATTGTTTTGAGCCATTGATTTCAACTCTTGTCTCATAGCATCAATCCATCTTTTAAACTTATCATTATCCATGGCTTGTGAAAATGAAACAAGATCATTATCAATGCCACAATCAAAATCGACTCTTATAAATAAACCACATAATCATCGAAATAGTCGACCTTCTAACCCTTACAGGTTTATTTAAAGCTATACCAATTGGTTCATTTACATGAGCTGGTGGTAAGTTAGGTTCTTCATGGGTGCTTCTTCATTATCCAAATATTGTTCTTGATTATTTTGATCTTCCAAAATAGGAGCAACATTTACGTTTAAGAGCATTTATGGGTAATGAAACATCAATCCTTATTTCATTAATATCCACAACTTGTTTTTCAGCACTCCCACTAACTTCATCATTTTCTAAAAATCTAGCATTGGTTGTTTCAATAATTCTAGAACCGTGGTTCGAACAATAAAACCTATAACTTTTGGATTTCTCTAAGTAACAAATAAAATAACCATTAACCGTTCAAGAATCCAGCTTTTATTTCATGTGGATTATAAATTCATGCTTTTATTGGACAACCTTAAACATGCAGGTGTCTTAAACTAGGTTTTCTTCTAGTCCATAAATCAAAAGGAGTTTTAGGAACTCGCCTTACTAAGAACCCTATTTAACGGATACATAACGATCTAAGTGCATACATTCACAAACTTTTAGATAATGAGGAATTGCTCATCATACTTCTAATCATATCTATTAATTTTCTATTTTGCCTTTTTGCCACACCATTCCGTTGCGTGGTGTCCGACATAGTACACTATGCACATATACTTTCGAGGAACTTAGCAAATGGACCAGGACACCGTCCGCATTCATCATACTTTCCATACTACTCACCATCTCTATCGGATCTTATAATTTTCACTTTTCTATCTAATTTTCTCTCAACCTCTTTTACAAACACCTCAAAGGCATTTATAGCTTGAGATTTTTTATGTAGTAAATAGATATATCTATACCATGAAAAATCATCTATAAAGGTGATGAAGTATTTTTCTCCATTAAAGGATGGAGTGTCAAAAGGTTCACAAACGTTAGTGTGTATTATTTCCATAAGCTAATTACTTCGTGGCTCTTTTCTTGCTATGTTTGGTTTGTTTGCCCTTAATGCATTCCATACATAAGCCAAGATCGATAAAATCTAGATTCGATAGAATCTCATTCTTTACTAATCTTTCTAACCTTTATTTGGATATATGACCCAAACATTTATGTCACAAATAAGCAAAATGTTCATTCGTCAAACTACGTTTCATTCTAACATTATGATTAACAATAAATAGGTATTCGAAAAAATAACATCAAGTTTCAATTTATATAAATCATCCATAAGCATTGCATAACCAATAAATACATTATTCTTATACAAATTGAAACAACTATGTCCAATCTCAAAAGTATCACCACTAGCATCAAGTTTAGAAACATAAACTAAATTTTTAGAAATTGAAGGTACATAAAGAGTCTTCATTAGATCCAAGTGATGCCCAAGTATCTAATGTCGACCTATAAGTCCCTACACCTTCAATTGGGGCTTTCATTTGGTTCCCCATAAACAGAAAATTGTTAGTTGGGCTTATAGTTTGGATTGTAAGAAATCTTTACATAATATTAGAAACATGAGTATTGGCACCAAAATCAAACCACTAAGTATTAGAAGGAACTTTAGATAAGTTTGATTCAAAGCATACAAAAACATAATGTATACCTTTCTTTTCAAACCAAGCCTTAAGTTTTGAGAAATCTTTCCGATAATGTCCTTCTTTCATGCAAAAATGGTATTTTTTCTAACTTTTATCCCTTCCTTCGATCTTCGATCATCGCGACTCTATAGAACTTTAGCAGGTTCTTTCTTCTTAAAATTCTTGGACTTTGGTTTGAATTTCTTTCTAGTTGCTTGACCTTCTAGGTTAATAGAATGAACTCCTTGTTTCTTTAATCTTGTTTCCTCCTCGAATAAGCTTACTAGATAGTTTATTAATATTCTATTTATCCTTTAATGTGTTATAATTGATGTGGAACAATCCATATTCAGTAGGAGGTGAGTTCATGATAAACTACACTAAGAAGGAGTCTTCCACAATCATACCCAGTGTCTTAAGCTTTGTTGCAATATTAGTCATATCAAGGACATGGTGCTCGTATACTCTTTAACCTATCAAACTTCATGGTCGTGAGTTCAGCCATAAGTGTCCCCGCAAGTGCCTTATGAGCATAACGTAACTTTTCTTCTACAAGCTTAAGGAAATCTTTAGCATTCTGATTTTTAGTGCTAGGAAGAGTAGACTTAATCTTGTTGATAGTTGACATTCGTATAAAATACAAACATAACCTCGTTAGAACTTGCTCACGCCTTATGGTATTCCTTTTCGACCTCCGTACTAGTATCATTAAGATCGACAGGCCGATCCTCTAATAGCGCCAAGTCAAGATCCAAAGCACCTAAATAGAAAGTGACTTGTTCGCTCCATTTAGAGAAATTCACACCAGTAAACAAGGTAACGGAAGATGCTTGAGAGTGAAGGCTAATAGCCGCAAACATATGAACGCTCACTAATTAACGTATTCGCATGAGAAGCAC